TATATATATATATATATATAGTTTTATTTTTTACAAATGTGTTTTTTCAAATTTAATTTCGTATTTTTTTTTTGTGTGTTTTTTTTTTTTCCAAATTTAAATTAGTTTTTTCAAATGTTGTTTATTTACACCTCAGGGCCACCGTAGTTCTGGTCTACAAAGACTATTATCCTACACATTTCAGTTACTTCTCTGCTCTTCAGCATGTTAGTTCTGCAGAAGTCTGGCAAGTGCCATTCATTCAGATCAGATAAAAACACAGAAACGTCTAAAGCATACAGCATAGTGGATTTTAAGGATCGTTATTGGGCACAACTGGTCTGGTAATACGAACAACCAACAAATTATAATGTCAAATATTCATAACTAGACTAAACAGAAGACTAAATACAAACTTAATAGAAAAAGTTTTAGGAAAACCTGAACTCAACTATAAAGACAAATAGAAAATCTACCGTCATGACTTAATTTTTTTTATTGTCTACCTGGATTATTGAGCATACATCAGAATATTCTTTCCTATACGTACAAGATAATTGTAAAACCTCATCTTGAACAGACATTCCTAGAATCTGAAATATACATTTTTAATAGAAGAACTGATTAAAATATTCCTGTTTCTCAAATGAAATGTGGCATAAAAAATCATTTTCAAAACTCGTGTTTTAATAGTAAGTGTTTCCTCATACACAATTACACAATTCTAAACAATAAAGTAAAATATATTCAACATTTTATAAGAAAATTATTCGAGAAAGTATAAGAAAATGTTTTAGGTGTGAATCAATTAAAACTCACCTGAAATAATCCCAAAGATGATCAAGTAAATTATAGATGTTTCCATATCTTCGTTGAGAAGGTAGAACTATAGAGCGTGCGTGTCATTTATTCTTTGAACCTTACTTTTAAATTTAGCTTCATGACAGACGAATACAGTTTATGGCAGTAGAATAAGGAAGCAGGTTTGTATTCTGGACCGGAGAAAAGGTTAGTCACATCGTGTTGATCATTAACAAATTTTGCCTGTAAGTCTCTGTTTACACAGTATCCAAGAAAAAACACACACACCTTTTAAACAAAGACAACATGAAATAAAACAGATGTTCAAATCATTTTAGAAGACAATCAAAGTAACACTTTTTAACAATGAGACTTTCTCCTGACGGTTAATTACTTTTACAGTATTTTGATATATATATATTTTTTTTGTTACCTCACTCATGCTGGCTGATGAATGAACTCTCCAGCATATATAAATAATTTACTAAAATAATCGGAGCTCATTTAGCAGTCCTTAACAGTCAGGCCATGCCATTTATTCTCCTTTATGTTCATTATTCATTTGAAATAGTTTACTTAACCAAAAGACAACAATCAATCCAAATGCATCTAATGAGATTGAGTCAAAAAATAAAGTTAAAACACAAATGAATAAATATATCGCAAGAAACTAATTTGAATCGCATGAAACATAGTAGATTTGAAACAAGAAAGGAATTTTTTTTTTTTTTAAAGTGTCAAATTCAGCAGCAACATATCTGGGCATATTAAGCTAAATCATAAATAGCTGTACATCTGTTTTAATAAGTCAAGTATTAATAGCAAATGTGAGGTTGATACATTAAATTAGCTTCTGGCATTTCCTAATAACCCTTAAAAGTTGATAATTTATTAGACATCTGAAATGCTTTCATGTACAAAGTATTTTTTTCTTCCATTTTGTGTACAAGCTTAATTTTGCCACAAGAAGGAGACATGATGCAAGTTGTGGCCACGCTCTGAGAGCCGAGCTGCAGATTCAATGGGCTGTTCTCAAAATGGAAGTATTTTACAACACCAAGACGCAGCAGATATTTGAAATGATTAGAATTACATTTTGATCTCTGAGTTCTCCTCACCTCCATGCTTCTGCAGGTTTAAAACTGCGGCTATGTTCCTGATACTTTTTATTACAGCTGTGAATTTTATAGGTAAGACTCTCACATTAACATTCTAATCTTTTCTGAATACATTAAAGATAGTTATGTTTATGTTATCCATTCATTCATGGTTTAACAGCCTAAAGAGTCGGAAAAACTTTCTTAGTGCTCAAACTGCAACATCTGTCAGGTTTGTCTTAGTTTGTAAAGGCGGATGAATAAAACTATTTTAATCTTATTAATGAGTCAGTTCAGGGTAGAACTTCACATATTCTAAAACCCATTGCTGCTTTTGAACTTCCAAGTAGGTTTTATATTTTGATTTTGTTTGTTTCCAGGTTCATCTGGAGGAACTGGTGTGTTACCAGATGATTCTCTGGTTGCATCTGTTGGAGGGACGGTGACGTTCAGAACAAACATAACTCCAACAGAAACACCACTTCTGTTTGTGATCTGGCAAAAGAAACATGGTGAAAGTTTTGAGCCTATAATAACCTCATCGCCTGCTGGAAACGCAACAGCACCAGAGTATGAAGACAGAATCACCGTGTTCATGTTTACTGGAGCTCTGGAGCTCAGGAATCTGAAACTCAGTGACAGTGGAAATTATGCTATTGACATTTTACTACCAAATGGTTTACAAGAACTAGGAGTTACTACGCTGAACATCTATGGTGAGCAGATGTTCAGATCTTACACTAAATATCTTTAATTTGTAAAACTTTTAAAATTTGTCTTTTTAACAAAGTTTTTAATCACAATATCTAATGACCTTTCATCTCTCATTTTTTGACTTCACTATCATATGTCGCAGAGTTTACTTTTGCTGTAGATGCTTTACTCGCTGCTGGAACGATCTATATGATCAAAAAGTGTGTGGAAACAATTGTGATATATTTTTTAAAGAAAATATTTGCTTTATTTCATCCAATACAGATTTTTGTCAGTTTCACAGTTTACATTAGGAGTGTCCAATTCTTGTCCTCATGAGTCATCATCATGCATGCTTTACTTTTTTCTCTGCTCCAACACACCAACAGTACGGTAATTTGAATCAAGAGGTGATTAACAGACTTCTGCAGAACACGAAGAGGTGATCCACCCACTGAATCAGTTTGTTCGAGCAGGGAAACAAGTAAAACTTGCAGGACAGTGGCCCTTGAAAACCAGGATTCGACACCCCTGCTTTACATTTTTGCTAACATTAAAGTGTTTTAAAAAAGTTGAACAGTCATATGTGCTATTTTTAAAGGTAGAACTGGTAACCAACATTATATTAGTGTTGACCATAGCTTGTTGTTTGTCAACAATACAAAGTGTTGTAGTTTAAGAATAAAGGTTAAACAATCAGCAACAGTTTTCTTTGTAAATCAATTGGGACACAAGTGTTGTCGCTTTCCATAATGGCAGTAATCAATGTTGTTGCTGTTTGCTAGCAATCACCAAAAACTTGAAATACCCCTTTAATTCTCTTCAATGTTCTAAAGTCTGACGTAGTTGTAGATTATTTATTATGATTCCCGCTATAATTATCTCTAACAATCTTTCAAATCCCTCCCGACAGCCTAAAGTTAGGATGGTGAGGACATCGTGTAGATTAACTTCCTGAACAGTAGTGCAGTATTATTTTGTAGTATTATTATTTATTTATTTTATTTACCTTTTATTTATACAGGTAGTCTCATTGAGTCACGAGAACTCATTTTCAAGAGAGACCTGTTTGGGAGCAGATGATGGGGGTTAAGGGCCTTGCTCAAGGGCCCAGAGTAGGAAAAACGAGGGTGGAAGCAGGTGTGGGTGTTTCACCTTTTCCACCCACATTTTTGATGTTGTCAGTCCAGGGAGTTGAACCTGTGACTTTTCGATCACATGCCCATCTTCTCTAACCTCTGCACCACCACTCCCCGCTTTATGAAAAGCCGTTCGGGCCAAAAACGAGTGAAAATTTCATGTCACTTTGATGCATAAGCAATGCGTAAAGTGCGTGTTAATGTGCAAACAACACGCACTTTACATGTTGTTTACGTGTTATTTTGAGGTACAGATTTGCCTGTTTATGTCCCTTTTGAGCTAAACCGCTTTAACAAAAAGAGGGGGTGCTCCACACTCATTCGAAATAACCTGCGGTCTATCTATAACAAAAAAAATTACAAATATATGTAAATTCTTGTAACATCAAGAGTCTAATGTTGTTATACTTTTGACTGTTTAAATGGATTTGACCCTGTTAAGAAATCAGTTTATTTTAATGTTGCAAACCATATAGTTTTTACATCAACTAGTGCTGCTTGATGGTTTTAATTTGACTCTTGTATTTTTTTTATTGTAAAACACCAAGGAAAAGTTCACTATATGCAAAAAATATTTCCCTCATAAAATTTAATAATTAAGAGGAACTGTAGTGAGAGCATCAGGTGTATCTTTCTCCTCTGCTCTGGTCCTGATCCATGACAACACACATAATTCATGAAAGCAACGATAAGTGTTGCAGGGTATTTGTCTTGTGTTTGTTTTTTGTTTTTTTTCAATCACCTCTAGCAATTCCTAATTAATAAAAAGTAAATCTGAAGAGAATTTTACAAATGTAACATAGATGTTAATGATCCACTTTATACAAATACATGAAAAAAAAAAAAAATAACATCATAGATGTAAAAAAGTAAAAGTTTCTGTTTCCAGATTAGTTATGGATTTTTTTCCATCATACAATAGTTTAAATTGGAAGCCATCAACATTAATATGTTTAATAGGACTTTATTCCTCATTTTTTGTATTTGTGGTTTTGTTTTTTTCATTCATCATTTTAACAACTGACTGTAATTATATTTTGTTTTCCTCCCACAGCACCAGTCTCCAGTGTAGTAGTAACTCCACCAACAGCAGACCTGGTTGAGTTCAACAGTTCTGCCCGTCTGTCCTGCTCCTCCTCTGGATCTTCTCTCTCCTTCCTCTGGATGAACAGCAGCTCTGAGCTTACAGCCAGTGACAGAGTTCAGATCACTGATGGAGGATCCACTCTGACTATAATCAGTGTGACCCGATATGACCAGGGACCATACAGCTGTCGTGTGTCTAATCCTGTCAGTGCTGAAACCAGTCAACCAGTAAACCTCGCCATTAGTTGTGAGTTTTTAACCAACATGTTGGTTTTTAAAACTAAACAGGCATGCAAAAATCTAAATTTAGATTATTGTCATATCTTTCTGAGAGGTTTTCATTTGTTTCTGGATAAAATAAACGATATTTTGTGAGTACATTCATTTTAAAACAGGGTTCAGAATAGAAAATAAAATGTTAGAATTCATTTTTTAGTCATAACAAAATGTGTACAACAAAATTACAAAGCTCAATTTGATGCATAAAACAAATAAAATTGTACTTTTTTCTCCTTGTATGTTTCTGTCCACTCAGACGGCCCAGAAAATATACAATCAAATATATCTCCATTAAAAGATCACTATGAAGAAGGATCAGACATCACTCTGAGCTGCTCAGCTGAGTCTGAACCTTCTGCTGATTTTAAATGGCTTCTGGATGGAAACCTGCTGCCTGATTCTGGACCAGAACTCAGACTGATGAACGTTCAGACGAGTCAGAGTGGAAACTACACCTGTCAGGCCTTTAACAGCAAAACTCTGAGATATCAAACATCTCAACCTTCTGCTGTCTCTGTGCTTGGTAAGTGTGAAAAAATTGTGTTTGCATGAAAAAAATTCAGTTTCAGAGATATCTGTGTAGTGGACTAAGCCTACGTCGAAACCCAGTCTAAGGTCAAAACTCTTGACCTTTAGAACCTTGTGGGACAGAAGCTGTCATTTCATGTATTTGAATACATAGATACAGGTTCACCCATCCTGAGACTTTCTTTCTTGAAGATTCAAGTGAAAAGAACACTCTCTTTTTATTATCATTACTATCTTACAAATGTTGATAATCAAAGTGTCTTAGTTCAAACCATTTTAGATGTTGCAGTGAACTAATCAATTTTATTAACTGAGTAATGATTTTTATTCTCATGTTAAAAGCTGTTGCAGAGTAATTATGCATTTTTCTGATTTCTGCTTTTGAATGAGCAAGTGTGTGCGTTTACAAGGTTACAGTCAAACGAAAAACAAGTTGTTATGTTAAAACTGTCATGTTTTAGAATCCTCTCAGACGTAAATAGAGATGTTTTGCACCTGTTTCTTAAACACGCCAAAACAGAACCCTCTCGGCCTGTGAGAACATTTCTGAGCTGTCCCATAACAATTCTCGCTGTGTCTAACCTCTTACGTCACAAAAACACACCCCTTCTGGTCGTTTCTGACCAATGAAAAATCCCAAAAAGTGAACCGGGAAAGAGTCTTTAAAATGTCAGTACTTCCTGGTCTAGTCAGTTCTGTGGGAGTTCTGTAAACTACACGAGAGCTAAAGTTCTGATGGAGTGCTGTTGGAGTTCCTGACATGACAACGAAGCTCTTCCGAGTTCCATGGGATTATAACATTTTCCACTGAGGTGAATGTGTGTCGAACAGAGCCTCGCCACTACTTCTGACGGGCTACAGCCATTCTAAGGAGACGCTGCACCGGTAGCGTTAACGGAACACCATATCTGCTGATTATCATCAGAGAGGTAATGGGTCAAGTTTCCTACCAAGCGTACCGAGGCGAGCTGGGCTTCTGATGGAGAGTGTCGGTTCTGGTAACATTCAATTTCCCTCAAACCCCATCCTTAACTCCCTCTAAACTTCTTCCCATCTTTAAACTTTTCTATCAAGTAGAAATTCTTCCAGATATTTAGAAATGTCTGTGTAAAATGCTCACCCACATTCATGTGGGCAAAAGATCATAGTTGTACAGTTTTATAAATGTCTGTGGTGCAGCAACGGAAAAATCATGGCCGTATGATTTTTCCTGATTGATTGCTTATGTTGTTATTTTCATAATTTGCCAAATTAATGTAAATGTTTGATGTTAAATTTGATTCTGTAAATAAATGACCGCATTCATTTTGATGGGTCAAATTTAAATGACGTCTCACGTTTGCATTTCCTTAAATTCAATGCACGTTTTATTCAGTCCAGAAAAATGAGGAATCCGCGTTAAATGATGAATACATCCCAGCATCTGTTCATCTACAACTGGTGGCCCGTACGGGGATCATAAATGGACTGTAACTCGTGTGCTAATTGATTTTCATGTTGGCATGTGTTGTAAAATAACAGTTGAATCCGTGCGTCTTTACGCAGCGCAATTGGAGCTGCGCGCTTGGGTTACGCTGGCAATGTTTTAAAAGCTGAAATTGTGTCATTGAGTCTTTATAAAGCTGAATTGTACGTCTGTATGTGTAACATAAGCTGGCTTTGAGCTGTGGAAACGCTTTATTCTGTTTAAACTGTGTTCCGGACGCTGTTCTGGTCCGATTCGGTTCTGTGGTTCCGAATCGGTTCTGGAAAGTTCGAACGAGTTGTTAAATAGCTAGAAAGACGTTTTGAGACCGGAGTAGCAGACTCCGGGCAGCTCAGGGGTTGATTCGTTACATTTTTAGCAGAGAAAGTGCATTTTGATGGTTTAAAAGACGATAAGTGATGAAATAGCTTCAGGCTGAATCTAACATGCTGGTTATTGCTAACGCTTCGTGGTTGCTTGTTTGCTGCTGTGGAAAGCTCTGATTTGCTGAGAAAGGTTGACTGACGTCACCTCCCCTCACCCCTACGCTGCGTCATTGGTTGGAAAGACCGTGTGTAACGTTCTGATTGGATGAGGGAAGTGTCAATCACGTCACCCGGAAATGAAGACTCGTTTTCATAGGGAATAAAATCTGCTTTTTAACGCTGGAAAGCGCATTAAAGCTGTGTTCTGAAACGCTGTTTACATTCATTCGAAGCATATTCGCTGAAAGTTCGCCACGTTTGAGTTTAAAGACCGTCATAAAATGATGCTTTTGAACTACGCTAGCGATGCTAAATTTTAAGCTAACAAGCTAATGACCGGATGGATGACGTGTCACGTCACTTCCCCCAAGTCGGAAATGAGCTTTACCGTGCTTAAATTCACTAAATACGGCTGCAATTTTGTTCCACAAAACTCATGTTTCATGATATAAGGTCTGATTGACAAAATTTTGCCACGTTTGTGTAAAAAATCCGTTCAGAAGTGTTGGTTTTCACCGAAGCAAGCCGATGCTAATTTTTGCTAACAAGCTAACGACCGGACGCCACAGGAAGTTATAGCACCCCTAGTGGACGACACAAACAGGGTCTGAGTTAAATTTGTTAAGGTTCTGCTGACATCTTGTGGAGAAGACGTGGGATCACAGGTTTTCACTTCGTTTTTAGGTAAAGAGTGACATTAAACGTTTTATTTTTCTGAAAGGCATTTTTTGAGTTAAAAAACTTCCTCAAAGCTGAATATACACTGTTATCTTGCGTTTTAAAAGTTATGAAGGTATTTATGCAAAGGGCTTTTACCAAACAAATTTTTATTCACTGATAAATCCTTGAGAAATAGGTACATAATAAAAATTTAGAAACTTTTAAATAAGATACAGTTACAAATATTCACAGAGTTGAATAGTTTACTCATTTTGCTAGAAGATAACGCATGTTTAATTGATAAATCACTAAATAAGAGTAAAGCTTATCAGGAAAAAGAGATTTTCTGATTTTCTGTTACCACCTAAACATTTACATCTACTATTTAATTTCTAAATAGCAGATAATGGCGGACGAAGAGGTAAACACTGACCCCTTACAATCCGAGGATGTGGTCCAGACAGCCTTACACATTTTGACAAATTCAATTCTTGGCAAAACTTTGGAGGAATTGCAAGACCTTGATGACGATCAAAGACATGAGGAGCTGCAGAGTTTATCAAAAGCAGCTACAGTGAAGGAAGACACAAAATCAAGCCGCGTACGGTTAGCAAAAATCTCTCTGCTTCTGAAGGCGGAATTAGACCGTTTGGTAGTGGAAAAGGGCGTGCTATTCAACGGATATAGGTCTGAAAAAGAGAGGTGTGACGAATTGATGATTGAATCTGAGTCGCTGCAGCAACACCTTGAGGCTGCTGAAGACCTCTCAAAGAAAGAGCTGTCAGAACAGGCTCAATCATATGAGGAGAAGTGTGCCGAGCTGATAAGTGAATCTGAGTTGCTGAAACAAAAGATTCAAACTGATAAGGACCTCTCGAAGAGAGAGCTGTCAGAACAGGCTCGATCATATGGGGAGAAGATTGCGGATAAGGAACGAGCGTACCAAGACGCGTGTGCAGATAACAATGAGTTACAAGCACGGTTGCAAACCGCTTTAAGGGAGCTGGCCGATTGCAAGGCAGAAAAGGGGTTAATAACCCGGAGTTGGCTGACTTTACAACATGAAAATCAGTCAACAAATGAGCGTCTGGCAGCTTGTGAGGAGAATTTAGCTACAGCTACAAACCTGTTTTCTGACATGGAGCTAGCTGGCTCGAGACTCAGAGACGAGCAGGGTCAGCTACAACCACCCCAGACAGGTGCTGTTGCATCTCCTCCCCTTAGCCCCGTTTCAACACCCCCAACCCGGGGGATAAGGACGGGTCTGCACCCACTTGCACCTCTTCCTCCTGACGCCAGGCAGTCAACTCCACCCCCATCTCGGGCGGTGGGGTTCGACCTGCACCGGTA